AATTTAACGAAAAAAGAAATTTTTGAAAGTGCCCGGAAGAGATAAAAATTTTTAACGGGTGCATTGAAAAGTTGAGCTTTTGACGACAAAAATTTCACATTGAAAACTGAACTTTTGGTGAAGTTGGTTAAAAATCCACAAAAAATTCTGAAATATAGACCTCGACGGACTGAATGGAAAAACATTGCCTGTTTAGGGTCCTGGGCCAAAATTTCAATATATTTTTCTAAAATGACTGTTTTTAAAAATTTCAAGAATTAGCATTTTTCATTTTCATGGTTCTATTTTTATTTTGGCGATTCTAAAAAAAAAAGTTGCAATTTTCGAAGAAAGAAGGTCAAAAATAACTTTTATACCTAAAAATTAACGACATATATTTTTTTAATAGTTGCTGGTGAAAGTGTTAAAATTTTTGTGAAAAATTCAGTTTTTGGGAAAGTTGCCTAAAAGTCCACATAAAAACAACTGGAATACACAAACATTGCCTATCTATGGTCCTGCACTAAAATCTTAAAATATTTTTTCTAAAATGACTTTTTTAAATAATTCAAGAATTAGTATTTTTCATTTTCACGGTTTTTAGAAAATGGGAATTTTCGCAGAACTGAAGCTTTTCGAAGTTGAAATCATCAAGAGAATTTCCGGCTGTGCTCGGGAAAAGGTCAAAAATTGCAAGTTGAAAAACTGAACCTTTGGCGAAGTTGCCTAAAAACCCACAAAAAATTTTGAAAAACAGATCTCGACGAGCTAATTCGAAAAATAGATCACGTTGATGGTGGTCAAGATTTCTGAAATATTCACTTTCGCAGTGAAAATTTTAAAATATCCCAAAATTTTTAAATAAATAAGGCCATAAAGAACTTCTGAAGATCGAAATTAACGAAAAAAGTTCTTGCAGCAATTTTTGAAGGTGTCCAGAAGAGATCAAAATTTTTACTGGGTGCATTGAAAATTTGAGCTTTTGGCGACGATTTCAAACAGTCTACAAAAAATTCTAGAATATAGATCTTGACGATTTGAATTGAAAAAGTCGAAACACATTAAGTATTCTTCAACCTGGAACAAGATTTAAATATATTTTGTACCAACCTGATTTTTTTTTAATATTTCAAAAATTGTCATGCGATTTTCACGATTCTGAAAAAATTACAGGATTTTCCCAGAAATTAAGCCCAATAAAGCTTCTATAGTTTGAAATCAACAGAAGAAACGCCTTCAGTAATTTTCGACGGTGTTCAGAAAGTTGTCAAAAATTTCGTATTGAAAAATTGAACTTTTGGTTAAGACTGGCCAAAATTTCTACTTTTTTAAATATTTCAGGAATTAGCATTTTTCATTTTTCGGGTTCTGAAAAAATAGTGGGAATTTTCGCAAAAATGAAATCCGGAAAAGCTTCTAGAGGTTGAAATCATCAAAAGAATTTCCGACTGAGCTCGGAAATGGTCAAAATTGCATGTTGAAAAGCCGAACTTTTGACGAAGTTGCCTAAAAATCCACAAAAGATTCTGAAGAATAGAATGAATCTCGTTGATTGTCCTGGATCAAGATTTTTGAAATATTCACTTTCAAAATGAAAATTTAAAAATTTTCCAAAATTGATATATTTTATACCTATACGCAATTCTGAAAAATGGTAGGAATTTTCAAAGAAATAAGGCCGTAAAGAACTTTTGAAAAATTAACGAAAGAAGTTCCTACAGCAATTTTTGAAGGTGTACGGAACATATCAAAATTTTTAACGGGGTGCATTGAAAAATTGAGCTTTTGGGGAAGATTTCTAAAAATTTGCACAAAATTCTAGAATATAGATCTCGGTGAGCTGAATCGAAAAACTCGAAAACATTGTATGTTATTGGTCTTGGATCAAAATTTTTTAAATATTCGGTTTCAAAGTGATTTTTTTTTTTTGAGTACGCTATTTAACTTTGGAAATTCTAATGAAACGATAGGAAATTTCGACGTGAAACCAAAAAAAAATCCGAATATAAATCTCGACGAACTGAACCGAAAAAGTCGAAAAATATTAAGTAAGATTCATCATCATCCTGCAACAAGATTTCGAAATATTTGGTACCATCAAAGTGACTTTTTTTAAATTTCAAAAATCATTATATTTAATTTTCACGATTCTGAAAAAATTATAGGAAGTTTCTCAGAAATTAAGTCTAAAAAAGCTTCTACAGTTTGAAATCAACACAACTCGGAAAATTTCGACGGTGTTCGGAAAGTTGTCAAAAATTTTATATTGAAAAATTGAACTTTTGGTGAAGTTGGTTAAAAATCCAGAAAAAAATCTGGGATACAGATCTCGTCGGACTAAATCTAAAAAAATTGCCTGTTGATCGTCCTGGACCAAGATTTCGATTTTTTTTCCAAAATTACTTTTTTAAATATTTCAAGAATTAACATTTTCCATTTCCATTGTTCTAAAAAGATGGTGGGAATTTTCGCAAAAATGAAGTCCGTAAAAGGTTTTAGAGGTTAAAATCATCAAAAGAATTTCCAAACTTGCTCCAGGTCAGGTCAGGTCAAGAAATGGTCAAAAATTGCATATTGAAAAATTTAAATTTTGATAAAATCCTCGATCAAGGTTTTTGAAATATTCGAAAATTGGCATATTTTACTAACGGAATTCTTACAACAATTTTTGAAGGCGCCCGGAAAGATCAAAATTTTTAACGGGGTGCACTGAAAAATTGAACTTTTGGCGACGATTTTTAAAAGTCTACACAAAATTCTAAAATATCTTAGAACTCAACGAGCTGAATCGAAAAACTCAAAAATAATGCGCGTTATTGGTCTTGGATCAAAATTTTTGAAGTATTCGGTTTCAAAGTGATTTTTTTGAACAAGTACTTCAAAAAGTGGCGTTATTTCACTTCGATGATTCTAAAGAAACGATAGGAATTTTCGAAGTGAAACCAAAAAAAAATCTGAATATAAATCTCGACGAACTGAATCTAAAAAGTCGAAAAACATTAAGTGCTCATCATCCTGGAACAAGATTTCGAAAAATTTGGTACCAAAGTATTTTTTTCATATTTTAAAAATTATCATATTTGATTTTCACGATCCTGAAAAAAATCATAAGAATTTCCGCAGAAATTAAACCCAAAAAGGCGTTTAGAGTTTGAAATCAACACAAGAACCCTTTCTGTAATTTTCGACGGTGGTCGGCAAGTTGTCAAAAATTTCATATTAAGAAACTGAACTTTTGTGGCAGTTGCCTAAAAATCCACAAAAAATTCTGGAATACAGATCTCGATGGACTGAATCGAAAAACACTACCGGTTGGTGGTCCTGGACCAAGATTTCCAAATATTTTTTCCAAAGTGACTTTTTTAAATATTTCAGGAACTAGGATTTTTCATTTTCACGATTCTGAAAAAAGTGTTGCATTTTTCGAAGAAATAAACCCACAAAGAACTATAGGTCAAAATTAACGAAATATTTTTTTTGTAATAGTTGCTGCTGTAAAGGCAAAATTTTTGTGAAAAATTCAATCTATGGAAAAGTCGTCCACAAAAAAAAATGGAATACAAATTTCGACGAGCTAAATCGAAAGTAGCATAATTCCCTTTCGAGATTCTAAAAAATATTCGAAGTAATAAAGTCCAAAAAACTTCTGGATTGAATTTCATATTGAAAAAATGAACTTTTGACGAAGTTGCCAAGCAATTTTAAAACATCCCAAAATTGCCATATTTTGTGTACGCAATTCTGAAACAATGGTAGGAATCAAAATTTGAACTTTACTTCAAAAAGTAGCGTTATTTCACTTTTGTGATTCTCAAGAAACGATGGGAATGACAAATTTTCGAAGTGAAATGAAAAGAAATTCTGAAGAAATTTTTAAAGAAATAAAACCGACAAAATCTTTTGGAAATTGAAATCAACACAAGAATTTCTTTTAGTAATTTTCGAAGGTGGTTAGAAAAAGGTCAAAAATTGCATATTGAAAAATTAAGCTTCTACCCACAAATTCACAAAAAAATCTGGCATATATATAAACTCATTTTATTTGAGAAAATCAATAGATTCAAATGAAACTATTCGCAGTAAATCCTCCAACAAATCATATGATATGATCTAAAATAAAACACAAACAGGAATTGGTGGAAATGCAATAGGTTCGGGTATTATTTAATGGGCCAAAGAAAATGTCGATTTTAAATAAAAAATTATCGCTGTTTACAGTAATTTTAACTGTGTACACATGGAAGTCAATTTTTTCATTCAAAGATGCATGGAGCGAAAAAAAAATGTTGGTTTGAAGCAGTTATTCGTGTCAATGGGGAACATCTGGTTCAACTATGGAAAGCAAAAAATCCCATTCAAGTTCATCTCATCCAAATAAACAAGTTAAATAATTTTACTTTACGACGAGAATTCGAGCAGTAAATTACGAAACGAAAGACCTAAAGTTTGCATTAAACTTAAATTGTTCTCTATAACCTCCTCGTGTCTCGGCACGCTTAAATCACTTAGTCAACAACTCTTTAATACCCAATATTTAGACCGATATTTAACTTGATAAAGAGATGGGAATTTTTTACAAAAATTGTGAGTAATATTTGTTGATAACTAACCCTTGGAATTATCGTCTTTCTTTATTACGAGAAAAGTGAAAACAAAGGCCGACTTTCGAAAAAATGCGCACACATTACAACCATCCTCGCCTCTCACACGCCCACCCTCCACTAATCTCTCGTTTGCGTGATTACGCTGAATTTCCCCAGACTTGACCATGCACCATGCACCTACATGTCAACTGCACGACGAGTATTCTCCGGGTGGCCGCTCCTTCAGTGAACATAAAAACACACTTCACCTAGCTCGGACGCCACTAAAAAAGTGTTTAATTTTCGTAGCTGCTGGCTAGAAAAGCAGACATCCGCTACGTACTCATTTCGTCCGATCGGCTCTAATAGATTTGGAAGCATAATAACGGCTATTTGCCGGCATTAGCCGCACCATAATAACAATAATCGAGTGTCTACCTGAAGTTCGGGGCTGGCATCAAAGTTGTACGCCGATGGTCTGCCTTCCAGTGTGGAAAAGGCGACGTTTCCGCCACGTAGAGGCGAAATGTCCGAGTACTCCGAGGTGCAGAGGGCCCGCGTTTCTTCTCCTCGGGTGGTGTGCTCGCTGTCGGGGAGACCGTAGGTGTCGCGACATGTGGCACTGTGGAATACATGGGTGTTAGATGGGTTGCATAGTCTACTGTAGTAATTTGTTGAATTTTAGTACAACGAATGCGTTTTTGTGTCCGCTAAAAGTTGATTTTGCAAACGTTTTAAGGTAATCTTGGTAAATCGTCAATCAAAATTTATTCATTTATCCCTGCCAAAAAATTGATGACGTCATCTCCAAATTTTGCCGAATAAATCCTCTGAAATATACAAAATAATTTATCCAGAGTGATTAAAAAATTAATGAATGACGCAGTGTATTATATTGATTAAATCAAGAACGACTCACTCCATTTTCCCTAAATTTTGGATTTATTTATTTACCTTCGATCAATTTTTTCATATTACAATTTTTCGTTTTTTCATTTGTTTCAATTTTTCGATGTTTCTTTCGATTTTATGGTTTTTCGTTTATTCAATTCTTCAGGTTTTTCTTTTCTAAATTCTAGATTTTTCAAAGTTTTCATTTTGTACTTTTTCGTTTTTTCATTTTTGATTTTTGAATTTTTTTAGTTTTTTCATTTCTTATATTTTTTTCAATGTTTCTTTAGATTTTATAGTTTTTCGTTTATTCAATTCTTCAGGTTCTTGATTTCTAAATTCTAGATTTTTCAAAGTTTTCATTTCATACTTTTTCGTTTTTTTCATTTTTGAATTTTAATTTTGCATTTTTTCCATTACTTTTTTTGATTCGAAAAATAAAAAACTGAAAAACTAAAAAATCGAAAAAGATTGGAAAATAGAAAATGAAAAAACGAAAAATTGCAAATCGAAGAAATGAAAAATCGAAACAATGAAAACTAAAACTCGGGAAATTTAATTTTCATTTTCTCGGCTTCCAAATTTTAAAATTTTTAGCTTTCGATTATAATTTTTCATTTTTCGATTTTTTAGTTTCTCGGTTTTTAATTTTTCGGCTCTTCAATTTTTCAATTCCTTAATTTTTCTTTTTCGTTTTCAAGATTTTTTAATTTTCATTTTCTCGATTTTATATCACATTTTTCGTTTTTTTATTTATTTTATTTTTTCAATATTTCATTTCAGTTCCTCGATTTTCCAATTTTTAAATTTTTCAGGTTTGCAATTTTTGAATTTCTCAATTATCCGATTTTCCAATTATTTTAATTTTCAATGTTTCGATTTTATAATTTTCGTTTTTTCGATTTTCCACTTTTTTGATTTGTAAGTTTTTCAATTTTTAATCTTCGAATTTTCAATTTGTCGTTTCTTCAGTTTCTCAGGTTCTTGATTTTTCAAAGTTTTCACTTTATGCTTATTCGTGTTTTCATTTTTCATTTTTGAATTTTACAATTTTGCAATTTTTCCATAATTTTTTTTATTCGAAAAATAAAATGTCGAAAAACTAAAAAATCGTAAAATTTTGAAAAATTGAAAAATAAAAAATCGAAAAAGTGGAAAATCGAAGAACTGAAAAAATGAAAAATCGAAACACTGAAAACTAAAAATCGAGAAACTTAATCATTTATTTTTAATTTTTCAATTTTTGGACTTCCAAATTTTAAAATTTTTGGCTTTCGATATTATAATTTTTCATTTTTCGATTTTTTAGTTTCTCGGTTTTTAATTTTTCGATTTTTCAATTTTCCCGTTCTAAAATTTTTCAAGTTCTTAATTTTTCATTTTCCAGGTTTTTTATATCACTTTTTTCTCAATTATCCGATTCCTTTCATTTTCGATGTTTCGATCTTACAATTTTGGTTTTTTCGATTTTCCACTTTTTTGGTATTTAAGTTTCTCAATTTTTAATCTTGGACTTTTCAATTTTTCGTTTCTTCAATTTCTCAGGTTCTCGATTTACAAATTCTAGATTTTTGAAACTTTTCACTTTATACTTTTTCGTTTTTTCGCTTTTGATTTTTGAATTTTACAATTTTGCAATTTTTCCATTAATTCTTTTTTTATTCGAAAACTAAAAAGATGAAAAAATAAAACATTGAAAAAATTGGAAAATCGAAAAATTGCAAATCGAAACACTGAAAATTAAAAATCGGGAAAATTAATTAATTTTTCAATTTTTCAATTTCTCGACTTCTAGATTTTTAAATATTTCGCTTTCGATATTATAATTTTTAAATTTTTCCACTTTTCAAAGTTTCAGTTTCAGTTTTTTGGTTTCTCAGCTTTTAATTTTTCGATTTTCCAATGTTTCCGTCCCAGAATTTTTCAAGTTCTTGATTTTTATTTTTCGTTTTCTCGATTTTTTTATTTTCATTTTCTCGATTTCATATCACATTTTCGTTTTTCATTTCTTTTACTTTTTCTGTTTCTTTTGAATTTATAATTTTTCGTTGTTTCGATTTTGGACTTTTTTGATTTTTAGGCTTCTCTATATTTAATCTTCGATTTTCAATGTTCCATTTCTTCAGTTTCTCGGGTTCTTGATTTTCAAATTCTAGATTTTTGAAACTTTTCGCTTTATACTTTTTGTTTTTTCACTTTTGATTTTTGAATTTTACAATTTTGCAATTTTTCCATTATTTTTTTATTCGAAAAATAAAAAGTCGAAAAATTAAAAAATCGGAAAAAATTGAAAAATTGAAAAATAAAAAATCGAAAAAGTGGAAAATCGCAAAATTGCAAATCGAAGAACTGAAAAAATGAAAAATCCAAACACTCAAAACTAAAGATCGAGAAACTTAATTATGTATTTTTAATTTTTCAATTTTTCCAAATTTTAAAATTTTTGGCTTTCGATATTATAATTTTCCATTTTTGGATTTTTTAGTTTCTCAGTTTTTAATTTTTCGATTTTTAATTTTTCCGTTCTAAAATTTTTCAAGTTCTTAATTTTTCATTTTCCAGGTTTTATATATCACATTTTTCGTTTTTTCATTTCTTTTATTTTTTCAATGTTTCTTTCGATTTTATAATTTTTCGTTTATTCAATTCTTCAAATTTTCAATCTTTGGTTTTTCATTTCCTCGATTTTCCAATTTTTAAATTTTTCGATTTTGCAATTTTTGAATTTCTCAATTATCCGAGTTTCCAATTCCTTTAATTTTCAATGTTTCGAATTTGCACTTTTTCGATTTGAAAGTTGTTCAATTTTAAATCTTTGATTTTTCAATTTTTCTTTTCTTCAGTTTCTCAGGTTTTTGAGTTCCAAATTCTAGATTTTTAAAACTTTTCAATTTATACTTTTTCATTTTTGTTTTTTGAATTTTACAATTTTGCAATTTTTCATTTTTTTTTTTATTCGAAAAATAAGACGAAAAACTAGAATATCGGAAAAAATTGAAAAATAGAAAAATGAAAAAATGAAATATTGCAAAATTGAAAAAGTGGAAAATCGAAAAATTGCGAATCGAAACACTGAAAATTACAAATTTAGAAGGTTAATTCGTTTTTCAATTTTTCAATTTCTCGACTTCCAAATGTTTAAATATTTCACTTTTGATATTATAATTTTTCGTTTTTCAATTTTTTAGTTTCTCAGTTTTCAATTTTTCGATTTTTCAATTTTTCCGTTTGAAAATTTTTCAGGTTATTAATTTTTCTTTTTCGTTTTCTCGATTTTTTTGAATTTTCATTTTCTCCATTTCATCACATTTTTTGTTTTTTCATTACTTTTATTTTTTCAATGTTTCTTTCGATTTTATCATTTTTCGATTATTCAGTTCTTCCAAATTTTCGATGTCTGATATTTTTGAATTTTTCAATTTTGCAATTTTAGAATTTCTCAATTATCCGATTTTCCATTCCTTTCATTTTCAATGTTTCGATTTTACAATTTTCGTTTTTTAGATTTTGCACTTTTTTGATTTTTAAGTTTCTCAATTTTTGATCTTGGACTTTTCGATTTTTCGTTTCTTCAATTTCTCAGGTTCTCGATTTAAAAATTCTAGATTTTTGAAACTTTTCAGTTTATGCTTTTTCGTTTTTTCGCTTTTGATTTTTGAATTTTACAATTTTGCAATTTTTCCATTAATTCTTTTTTTATTCGAAAACTAAAAAGATGAAAAAATAAAACATCGGAAAAATTGGAAAAACGAAATATTGCAAAATCGAAAAATTGCAAATCGAAACACAGAAAATTAAAAATCGAGAAAATTAATTCGTTTTTCAATTTTTCAATTTCTCGACTTCCAGATTTTTAAATATTTCGCTTTCGATATTATAATTTTTAATTTTTCCACTTTTAATAATAATAATAATACTTTATTTACGGCTAAGCCAATATTACAAAATAGTATTTACATGTTGAGGAGAGTTTCAGTTTCAGTTTTTTAGTTTCTCAGTTTTTAATTTTTCGATTTTCTAATTTTTCCGTCCCAGAATTTTTCAAATTCTTGATTTTTATTTTTCGTTTTCCCGATTTTTTAATTTTCATTTTCTCGATTTCATATCACATTTTCGTTTTTCCTTTCTGTTATTTTTTCTGTTTCTTTCGAATTTATAATTTTTCGTTCTTTCGATTTTGCACTTTTTTGATTTTTTTAGGCTTCTCAATATTTAATCTTCGATTTTTCAATGTTTCATTTCTTCAGTTTCTCGGGTTCTTGATTTTCAAATTCTAGATTTTTGAAACTTTTCACTTTATACTTTTTGTTTTTTCACTTTTGATTTTTGAATTTTACAATTTTGCAATTTTTCCATAAATTCTTTTTTGATTCGAAAAATAAAGAATCGAAAAACTAAAACATCGGAAAAAATTGAAAAATATAAAAATGAAAAAACGAAAAGTTGCAAAATCGAAAAATTGAAAATGAAAGAACTGAAGATATGAAAAATCGAGAAACTTAATTTTTTCAAATCTTCAATTTCTCGACTTTAGATTTTTAAATATTTCGCTTTCGATATTATAATTTTTCGTTTATTCAATCTTTGATTTTTCAGTTCCTCGATTTTCCAATTCCTTTAATATTCAATGTTCCGAATTATTTTTGTTTTTTCGATTTTGTACTTTTTTGATTTTTAAGTTTTTCAATTTTTAATCTTAGATTTTTCAATTTTTCGTTTTTTCAGTTTCTCAGGTTCTTGATTTCCAAATTCTAGATTTTTGAAACTAATCACTTTATATTTTTTCGATTTTTGATTTTTAAGTTTTGAATTTTACAATTTTGCAATTTTTCAAAAAATAAAAAACTAGAACATCCGAAAAAGTTGAAAAAAACGAAATACATATTGCAAAATCGAAAAAGTGGAAAATCGAAAAATAGCAAATCGAAACGCTGAAAATTAAAAATCGCGAAAGTTCATTCATTTTTTCAATTTTTCACTTTTCAAAGTTTCAGTTTCAATTTTTTAGTTTCTCAGTTTTCAATTTTTCGATTTTTCAATTTTTCCCTTCCAAAATTTTTCAAGTTCTTGATTTTTATTTTTCGTTTTCCCATTTTTTAATTTTCATTTTCTCGATTTCATTACACATTTTTCGTTTCTTTTATTTTTTCTGTTTCTTTCGATTTTTAAATTTTTCGTTTCTTCAGTTTCTCGGGTTCTTAATTGCCAAATTCTAGATTTTTGAAAACTTTTCTCTTTATACTTTTTCGTTTTTTCACCTTTGATTTTTGAATTTTGCAATTCTGCAATTTTCCATTAATTCTTTTTTTATACGAAAAATAAAAAATTCAAAAACTGAAGATGTGAAAAATCGACAAAGTTAATTAATTTTTTCGACTTTTCAATTTCTCTACTTCCAAATTTTTAAATATTTCGCTTTCGATATTATAATTTTTCATTTTTCGTTTATTAGTTGCTCAGTTTTTAATTTTTTGATTCTTCAATTTTTCCGTTCCAAAATTTTTCAACTTCATTTTTATTTTTAGTTTTCCCGATTTCTCAATTTTCATTTTCTCGACTTTATTTCACATTTTTCGTTTTTTCATTTTTTTATTTTTTCGATGTTTCTTTCAATTTTATAATTTTTCGTTTATTCAGTCTTTGATTTTTCAGTTCCTCGATTTTTCAATTTTGAAACTTTTTAAATTTCTCGATTTTTAATCTTGGATTTTTCAATTTTTCGTTTCTTCAATTTCTGAGGTTCTTGATTTCCAATTCAAGATTTGAAAAATGAAAAAACGAAAAATGAAAATACTGCAAACAAAAAGTGGAGAAACTCCAAAATCGAAAAAATTAATGAACCCAAAAATTGGAAAGAAGAAAAATTTTAAAATCCCAAAATTGTAGAATCGTCAAAATTGCAAAGTCAAAAAACTGTAACACTGAAAGATCAAAAAATTGAAAAATTAAACATCGAAAAATGGAAAATTCAAAAATCCAAAAATCGAATAAATGAAGAAGTTTTAAAAAGCAATACTTGAAAAACAGAAAAATTCTAAACTCCTAACATTAAAAAAAAAACATTATTTAAAAAATCCCAAACGAAAAATTGCAACTCGTAAATTTGAAGAAATAAAAAATGAAGAATCCAAAAATTGAAAAATTAAAAATCGAAATACTGAAAAGTCGAATAAATGAAAAAAAATTAAAATCCAATAATTGAAAAATGAACAAAATTCTAAAATCGTAAAACTGTAAAAATTGCAGCTCAAAAACTGAAGAAACGAAAATTGAAAAATCGAAAAGTTAAAAACCGAAAAATTGCAAAATCCAAAAATTGATAAAAATTTCACATTGAAAAAAATAAAAAACCGAAAAGAAAAATTCCAAAACGAAAAACTGAAGACACGAAAAATTGAAAAATCGAAAAATTAAAAACTCGTGAAATTGCAAAAATCGAGGAATTTAAAAAATCTACAAATTGAAACATTCAAAATTTAAAAATCGAAAAACTGAAAAATTTAAAAATGAAAACTCCAAGTAATGCATTCGTAAAATTGAAGAATCAAAAAAACGAAAAGTTGAAAACTGAAAACTCGAGAAATTTTAACACAAAAAAATCTAAAATGTGAAAAAACAAAAAATATAAAAATTGAAATATTCAAAGAAAATAATTTTTCAAACAGACAGGATTTATTGGCTGCACTTCAGAAAAAAGTTCCGTCGAAATAACCTTCGCCCAATTTTTTTCGAAGCAGTTGCCCTCAATACACTAGTTCCTCTTGCGTGTGCCCACTTTTTGTCTGTACAATCTTACAACCCGGTTTTGTTTTAGAGCACAGAGACTCGTTATAATTCAAATCCAAACAAAGTGTATGATAAATTGCCAAGTGGAAGGGCATTAAAGGTACACGCATCACGTGACTGGCACAGGAACAATTTCAAGCAAGCTGTGCAATAAGTTACAATGTGAATATCCTATTCAGCCTGACAGACAATAATTAAGTATTACCACCATTTTTGAGACATACCACGGTTTATCATGCCTAAAATACACAAAGCTGCGATTTACGGTAATGTGAAGACTCGACGTTTACGGCAAAATATGGGCACTTATTTTTGTCTTCGGGGCGCGTTTTCACTTCACCGAAATTTCTTACCACCCAGAATTAAGCGAAAAGATGATGATAAACAGGACTTGCTAATCCGAATGTGCGAAAGAGTATATAAAAAAAGCAAATATTGACCATAGATCTCTAACTGGTAGCTTAATTTTAAGTTTATTGTGTGTACTTTGCGACACCTAGCATTATTAATAATTCTTACATGACATCATCTTGTGCAAATACTCGACGCCGAACTGACATCATATGTGTTAATTTTTTGTGACAAAAAATTGGTAGTTTTTTATTGACAAAATTAGGTCACTTTTTGCGTCATATCGAGTAACGACAGAGTAAAAATATTCGGGATATCGTACACTAGCTTAAAACAGTACAATTTCTACGCAAAACTTCGACTAACGTCATCACTATTTGATGGGGATAAAACGGCCTACTTGTTTTTACCTGTAATATTGGTACGGAATCCACTGCGTACTTTCGGACGTCTTCTTAAAAATCGAAAAGCTCTCGGGTCTGGGCGAGTAAAACCACAACCTCACGTACGTAATATCGAACGCTTTCCCTGTAAAAAAGCAATAACGTTAAGACACCAATCAAGACCTGAACAGGTTCGGCCGATTTATCAATGAGGGGGAAACGGTTCAATGAATTAAAATTTTTGCCGGTCGCCTCGACGACGGGTTGAAAGGAAGACCATGATTCGTCGGACACCCACATTCCCGATAGTAGCAGAAAACAGCAGGAAGCATAAATCAGAATCTCGTTTTTGATCGGCCAGACGTACGTGGGCTCGAATTGGTCTCTTAATAGACGTTGAATTGTTGCTATTTATTTCTAATAAATCGCACCGTTAGTTACTTTGTTGGAGATAGTATCGTTGTACAATACCTGGTTGCGTGATGGATGGATACATGTTCGTAGACAGTTGCCATTTCGAATTGCATCATTATGGTACTGTGGAAAGTGGACTGATATGAGGGGGATTTGTATGCGGCGTTTAATGGTCAGGAAAAGTAATGAAAGGATTGTTTATGTTGTGGGATGATTGTTTTCGATGACATAGAAAAGTATACACATGTTATCGTCTGATTTTTTAGTTTCTTCATAAAACAACAAGATCAAAATATTTATAATACAGTATTTTAGGTCAATAACAACAACAAATTTGTTTCAAGTTTAAAGCTGGAGTGTTTTTAAATAAAAATTCACTCTTCAAAACAGTTTTGAACATTATCTGCTAAATTAATTTTTTGAATTACAAATTTTTGGGTAATTTTCTTGAATTCAATATTTGGCTCAAGACACCATTAAAAAATGGGAATGGAAGCTCTTATCCACTATATTACGTATCAATTAACCTAAAGTCAGAGGGACTAAAGAAAAATCTAGGAAAAGAGATGAGCCATTTTTGGAAATAAGTAGAAGTAGAAGAATTAGGTTTTGGGGCGAAGTTCACGTTGAAGATTTCATGAAATCGGGAAGATCTTAGAGGTATATTGTTTTCAAGAGAGACAAAACTGAAGAATCTGGTTCTAAATCTTAAACTAGCCAATTTTCGTCCATTTTTGGGCCCAATTTTGGAAATTATACATTTTGTACTTTAGTTCTTTTAACAGTTGAAGAGATTTTTTTTGTTTTAAACAATTCTGAAAAAAATTTCGAAAAAGATTTCGACCCGGTGAAGCAATTTTTAATGTCAGGGCATTGATATTTCTACTGGTTTACTAGTTATTGTGGAAAAATCGACTTAGAATTATTTTGAGCCACTAAATTTCAACGTTGAAAAATCATATCTTTCCAACCGGTCCTCCAATTTTCATAAAGTTTAATTTTACTTGTAACTCCAACCTTCTTCTTTCATGGAAAAAATCCACATCTTCGTGGAACCCGGAGTTTTTCCTGGACAACACTGGAAATGCATGGGTGTATCGCAAGCTCAAAATTTATTAGACATTTAGAATTTAATTCCATTCGTCAACGGCTCAACTCTTTAAAAACAACAGAAATCGTGTTTTCTGGTTCTAAAACTTAAACTCGCCAATTTTCGTCCATTTTTGAGTCCAATTTTGGAAATTATACATTTCGTCTTATAGTTCTTCCAACTGCTGAAGGATTTTTTTTTAACGTTTGAAACAATTCTGAGAAAAAAATGTTCGAGTAGATTTCGAACCGGTGAACCAATTTTTTATGTCAGGACACTGATATTTCGGCTAGTTTTCCACTTATTGTGGAAAAATAGGTTTAGTAAAAATTGTAGCTTCTAAATTACAAATTTGAAAAATCATGTCTTCCGAACTGGTCCCCAAATTTTCATGATCTTCAATATTTCTTGTAGCCCCAACGTTTTCCTTTAGTGGAAAAAATTCTTATCTTTGTAGAAGCCGGAGTTTTTCCCATACGAAACCAGAAGTGCAATCGTATATCACAAACTCAAAATTTGCTGGATCTTTGATTTAATTCCATTCATCAACGACACAAGACTTTAAAAACAACACAAATCGTGTTTTTTGGTTCTAAGTCTTAAACTAGCCAATTTTCGTGCATTTTTGGGTCCTATTTTGAAAAAATTAGACATTTTGCCCTATGTTCTTCCAACAGTTCACAGAATTTTTTTTAATGTTTCAATTAATGCTGAAAAAATTTGTAGAAGTAGATGTCGACCCGGTGAAGTATTTTTTAATGTCAGGACACTGATATTTCACCTGGTCTTCCGATTATTGTGAAAAAATACGTTTAGCAAAATTTTTCTCTACTAAACTATAAATTTGAAAAATTGTATCTATCGAATCGGTCCTCCAATTTTTATGAAGTTTCATTTTTCTTGTAGCGCCAACTTTTTTCTTTAATGGAAAAAATTCGCATCTTCGTGGAAGCCGGAGTTTTTCCTAGACGAAACCGGAACTAGAATCGTGTATCATAAACTCAAAATTTGCTGGACCTTTGATTTAATTCCATTCATCAACATATAAAATCTTTAAAAGCAACAAGAATCCTGTTTTCGGGTTCTAAATCTTAAACTAGCCAATTTTCCTCGATTTTTGGATCCAATTTTGGAAATTATACATTTTGCCTTATAGTTCGTCCAACTACTGAAGGAAATTTTTTTTGCACGTTTGAAATAATTCTGAGAAAAAAATGTTGGAGTAGATTTTGAACCGCTGAAGCAATTTTTTATGTCAGGACACTGATATTTCGGCTAGTTTTCCACTTATTGTGGAAAAATAGGTTTAGTAAAAATTGTAGCTTCTAAATTACAAATTTGAAAAATCATATCTTCCGAACTGGTCCTCAAATTTTCATGATGTTCAATATTTCTTGACTCCAACGTTTTCCTTTAGTGGAAAAAATTCTTATCTTTGTAGAAGCCGGAGTTTTTCCCATACGAAACCGAAAGTGGAATCGTATGGCACAAACTCAAAATTTGCTGGATCTTTGATTTAATTCCATTCATCAATGACTCAAGTCTTTAAAAACAACACAAATCGTGTTTTTTGGTTCTAACTCTTAAACTAGCCAATTTTCGTGCATTTTTGGGTCCTATTTTGAAAATTAGACATTTTGCCCTATGTTCTTCCAACAGTTCACAGAATTTTTTTTAATGTTTCAAATAATTCTGAAAAACTTTGTAGAAGTAGAAGTCGACCCGGTGAAGTATTTTTTAATGTCAGGACACTGATATTTCACTTGGTCTTCCAATTATTGTGAAAAAATACGTTTAGCAAAAATTTTCTCTACTAAACTATAAATTTGAAAAATTGTATCTATCGAATCGGTCCTCCAATTTTTATGAAGTTTCATTTTTCTTGTAGCGCCAACTTTTTTCTTTAATGGAAAAAATTCGCATCGTCGTGGAAGCCGGAGTTTTTCCTAGACGAAATCGGAACTAGAATCGTGTATCATAAACTCAAAATTTGCTGGATCTTTGATTTAATTCCATTCATCAACGTATAAAATCTTTAAAAGCAACAAGAATCCTGTTTTCGGGTTCTAAATCTTAAACTAGCCAATTTTCCTCGATTTTTGGATCCAATTTTGGAAATTATACATTTCGTCTTATAGTTCTTCCAACTGCTGAAGGATTTTTTTTTAACGTTTGAAACAATTCTGAGAAAAAAATGTTCGAGTAGATTTCGAACCGGTGAACCAATTTTTTATGTCAGGACACTGATATTTCGGCTAGTTTTCCACTTATTGTGGAAAAATAGGTTTAGTAAAAATTGTAGCTTCTAAATTACAAATTTGAAAAATCATGTCTTCCGAACTGGTCCCCAAATTTTCATGATCTTCAATATTTCTTGTAGCCCCAACGTTTTCCTTTAGTGGAAAAAATTCTTATCTTTGTAGAAGCCGGAGTTTTTCCCATACGAAACCAGAAGTGCAATCGTATATCACAAACTCAAAATTTGCTGGATCTTTGATTTAATTCCATTCATCAACGACACAAGTCTTTAAAAACAACAGAAATCGTGTTTTCTGGTTCTATATCTACAACTAGGCAATTTTCGTCCAATTTTGGGTCCAATTTTGAAAATTATACATTTTGTCCTAGCGTTCTTCCAAGGGATTTTTTTGTTTCAAACAATTCTGAAAAAAATTGTGGATGTAGACTGCGACCCGGTGAAGCAATTTCTAATGTCAGGACTTTGATATTTCTACTGGTTTACCAGTTATTGTGGAAAAATCGACTTAGAAATATTTTGAGCCACTAAATTTCAAAGTTGAAAAATCATATCTTTCGAACCGGTCTTCCAATTTTCCTCAAGTTTAATTTTTCCTGTAGCTCCAACTTCCATCTTTAGCGGAAAAAATCCGCATCTTCGTGGAAGCCGGAGTTTTTCCTGGACGAAACCAAAAGTGCATGGCTGTACCACAAACTCAAAATTTTGCTATACATTTGGCTTAATTTCATTAATCAATATTTGAAGCCTTTAAAACCAATAGAAATCATGTCTTCTTGTTATGAATCGCAAACTAGTAATTTTTCGTCCATTTTTGGGTCCAATTTTGGAAATTATACATCTTGTCCTATAGTTCTTTCAACAGTTGAAGAGATTTTTTTATGTTTCAAACAATTCTGAAAAAAATTGTGGAAGTAGATTTCGGCCCGGTGAAGCGATTTTTAATGTCAAAGCATTGATATTTCTACTGGTTTACCAGTTATTGTAGAAAAACCGACTTAGAAATATTATGAGCCACTAAATGTCGAAGTTGAAAAATCATATCTTTCGAACCGGTCTTCCAATTTTCATCAAGTTTAATTTTTCCTGTAGCTCCAACTTTCTTCTTTAGTGAAAAAATCCACATCTTCGTGGAAGCCGGAGTTTTTCCTGGACGAAACCAAAAGTGCATGGCTGTATCACAAACTCAAAATTTTGCTATACATTTGGCTTAATTCCATTAATCAATATTTGAAGCCTTTGGAACCAATAGAAATCATGTCTTCTGGTTATGAATCTCAAACTAGTCATTCTTCGTGCATTTTTGGGTTAAATTTTGAAAATTATACATTTTATCCTACAGTTCTTCCAACAGCTGAAGGGATTTTTTTTTTTTAGTTTTAAA